GGACATTCTTCTGGGTCTGGATTTCTGCGTCCTTGAATCTTTCCTTGCATTATATTTTGTAGGAACGTGTACTTTTGTCCTCTCATCAGGTGGCCTGAGTATTCAAGGTTTTCTATATTCATAATAACTTCTGGATCGATAGTTATTCTGCGTATTGCCTCTTCATTTGTAATTCTATCCACCCAACTTATTCTTAGTATACCACTACATCTCAAAGCTTTCAAGATTTTTAATATTCCTCTGTTTAAGAGTCCATGCCTCAACCGTAAAGCAAAGTACTGAATACATAGCATTTTAACATTCTAGTTCGTAGATAAACACTAATATCACGATTACAAAATAATTTTTTCATTTTTATAAAGGTAGACCTGGCAATTTCAATACGTCTTTTTAGCTCGTGATTTTGGTCACCTGTTTCATTAATGAGGGTTCCCAAGTATTTATATTCGCTTACTTTTTCAAGTTGGGTACCGTTTATTGTGATACTGGTGTCATGAATTGGATTCTTACTGAAGGTCATATATGATCTTGAGTCATATATGACACCGTCTTATATCACTTTTAATTTGGAAGATTCATATCCGAACGGTAAACATAAAAAAAGATAAACCCATACAGACCGAACAAAGCGTGGTGAATATTTTAGCGTAGCGAATAATCCACATGTGTCCATGAAGTTCATTGCTTTAAAAACTAGCATCCCTTCAACTACAGTTCATTTGATTTAAAAAAGCACCATTACCATTTCTTATGGTATTGGTAAATTTGCACCAAGCAAATTTGCTGCAAATTTACTAAGATGTAAATTGGAGCTGGAAGGTCAGATAATAGAACAAGTGATGAAGTTTACATATCTAGGCATCACATTATTTACCTACGGAAAGCTCGAAACTGAAGTGGAAAATCAAGGTAATAGAGTAAACAAAGCCGCAGACTGCCTGAATGAAACAAAATGGAGAAATAAAAATATCGGAAAAGAAATGAAACGCAGAACGTATAAAACAGTCATCAAACCAATAATGACATATGCGGCATAAACACGACCTGACAGAGACGACAAAGAGGATGTTAAAAACAGCAGAGATGAAAACACTTGGGGATAGAGCTAGAAGTACAGATATACGACGTAGATGCAAGGTGATGAACATCAAGAACTGGATAAGAAATAGAAGAGTAAAATGAAACGATCATATAAGCCGACTGACAACAAATAGACTAGTAAAGACGGCAACAGACGGTTCCCCAATGGGAAGACGATCAGTAGGAAGACTACGAAAACGATGGAACGACAACTTACTGGAGGTAAATTGAAGAACAGACAGAGTCATGTCTACATAAAGAAGAACCAAGTATATTTGCACTGTGTTTTGATCATGAATTGCGACCCATCGATTTGGATCGAAGACTACCCTTCATCACCATAATATAAGGTATGATTCACGAGACTTCTGACCTTTTAAATAGAATTTTATAGAGTCAAGAAGCTCGTCCTTAGTAATCAAATCGTATAACATGATAACTGTCATTATAGGTGAGTAAAAAAATCGCACTTGTTAAGAGAATCTCGCATTTAAACTGGATGGAGCACCAAGATTTGGTGTCGTGGGTTATTTAATGGGCATTATACAGTCCATAGGGTCCATATTTTTTAAAGAATATTTAATGATCAGAAATATCTGTATTTTCTTGATGATGATGAATATTTAATGATCTTTGTTACTGAAGAATATTCCTTTAAGCGAAACAGGATTTATGGTATGGCAATAAGATGACGCACTCCCACATAACAGTGGTATTGTAACCGATTACCTCGAAACCACATTTCCAAATATATGGACTGGAACTAACAGACCCTTGCAATGTCCTCCAAGATCGTTTGTGAAGTCTCTCTTAGATTTTTTTTGTATGGGGCTATCTAAAAGGAGTCTATCTTAATAAAAAATCTACAAATATAGAAGATTTTAAAACTAAAATTAAACCAGCGTGTACTCAGAGTATGCCAAAAATGATTTATGTAAGTATCTGCACGTGAACTGCAATTGTAAAAATATTTATTACTTCATTCCTTACTTCTTCAGTTTTAGACTGTTAAAAACCTATTAAAACACTATGTATATAGGACTAGGCAAAACCAAGATTCTAAATCTCCTAGCATTACTTACATGGTAAATATATTTTTTGCACAAAGGGGAAAAATACTAAGTTTGACATAAAGTTAGACTTAGGTTTGACATAGTTTGACATAAAAAATTGTATAATTAGATAAAAAGGAAAAACATTTGTTGTTCCTAATGTGTCAATTAATAAGAAAATATTTTTAATATATAATTTACACGATTTAAAATAATCGGTTAATAGTGAAAACGCAAAAAATAAATTAAAATTTTATCCTACCATTTTCTTTATTATAAATAATTGTAATAAAGTTAAAATATTTAAAAATAGTTATAGTCTAAATAATTTCTTGTAGAAAAGAATAAACTAGGAGCATAAGGAACATTATTCTCCTTAGTAATTATCAATCTCCCGAGTAATTAACGGTTATTATACCGGGTGTTCCAAAAGAAGCGGGCCGGTCGAATATTTCGCGAAATTTACATAAAAATGTTATACAGTAACCGGTACTGTAGACTAGCGCGAAGCTACATACTATATTTCTGTTATTTTAAATTTTAAAAAAATTATAAAACATTTCAAAAGTCAAAATAGCAAATTATGGTCAGTTTTGAAATTTTGTATACCTAATGCTGTAACTGCATAAATATGAAAATTTTTAAAATGTTTTACTAATTGTATTTATAAAAAAAATTATGAAAATATAAATAGATATACTTAATTTAATTATATAAATGAAATGAGATGTTTAAAAACTAAAAGTTGTATTAAAAAAACTCTAGCAGTAGGCGGTACTATAAACTAGCGCAGAGCTTCATACAATATTTTCTGTATTTTTAAAATTTAAATATATTTAAAATTAAATAAAGTAATTTTATTATGTATTTAGTTTTTATATTTTAAATAAATTCAGTAAATTATTATGTTTGCTCCTAATCCTACATGTTAACGCATGAACAAAGACTAGAAGCATATACCATTTTTCAAAATAAAACACTTGCATGTCACGATTTATACAAAGTGATGTCAGAGTGGTGTCAAAGTGGTGTAATATTCAGAAAAATGTAATTATCATTATATTGGAAATTTAAGAATTATATTGATATATAACCAAAACATTTGTTATTAATAATAATATAGATTTTATGAAATAACTCTTTAAATCTAATATTCCACAAAATAATAATTTTAATTAAATATATTAGACAATTGTACCCAACTGATATGGAAATACTTCAAATTTTATTGACAGTTAAGCGTGTGGCAAAAGTGTATAAAGTGTTGCCGCTTTTTTACACGTTATTTACTTATGATAAACCTGTCAAATTCTGAATTATTAGATAAACTAAATATGTTTAAAAATAATAATTGTATTTATATTATATTATTTTGAAATGAGAATTATTATAAAAATTTTAACAGATCATTTAATGTTATTATTAATCGGACGGCATCTATGAGTTTTATTAAATTTTCACAATCGTTACGAATCGAATCATTTAGTGATCGATATTCTTTTAGTTTTTTACTTCTCATTTAATGTCTATATTTTGTTAGTTATTTTTCATGCATTTTTTAATTTAAACCTGCTTAGAGTAAATATTTGATGGCTAGAAACTATTTGATCAAAAGTAATTAAGCTTTGCTTCAATAGTATTTAATATTTTTTATAAATCTATTGAATTACACCATATACAAACCTCTAGTTCTACTTCCTGTGGGCTGGAGGGTGCGGCGTTAAAATCCTTACTTAGAACCCCATGTTTTATTGCAGATATGAATATCTTATAGAACTAAGTAACTTCTACTCGAAACATTTTTGTTTCTTGTTTTTTCTTCAAATGTTGACTAATGGCACTTTAAATGGCACGGAAAAAAACGTTTTGTCCTAATACCCCAGGAAACAGCTTAATATCTCAAGAAATATACTTCGAAATAAAAAACCAAAAAACACGTGTTTATAATTTTTCAAAAATTAATCGAATGATACTAAACACCACCCTCTATCTTTACTGCTTGGGGATGCAGTGAAAAGCAACTTATCTGTAGAGAATATTAAATAGAAAACCCCATTTTTTATTGGGGGTTTCAGATTCCACGTGAAAAAGTAAACAAATGTATCTGAAATTTTTTTCTGTCTGCGATAGATGGCGCCATAATCGCAAATAAATAATACAGAGTTGGATGCTAGTACAGTATCAGAAGTCTGCAAACTAACTTTTATTGTACTGAATACAGTTTTTTAGGTAGAATCAGAATCTGCAATAAAAAATGGAGGTTTCTATTTAACATTTCAAAGTTGTCCCTTGCCCCACCCCTAGTATGTAGTGTTGAGCAATCGTGTTTAGTGTCATTCGAAAAATTTTTGGAAAATATTAAAAGCGCGTTATTTGATTTTTCACTTAACACTCTATTTCTCAAAACATTCGTTTCCGAAGACCGTTCCGTTAATTTTTCTATGATATCAGGATAGATCGTACTTTTTCGATTGTAGCGCCATCTATCAAAAATTTAAAGAAATATCTTTAAGAAAGTTACTTATTTTTGCATCTCTAATAAAAATAGCAGTTACCGTTTAATATTTCAAAGTTGCTTCCCACACCACCGACAAGGGGTGCGCGCAGGGGGTCATGTTTCATGTAAATGTAAATTTTGCGAAATATTCGACAATCCTGCTTCTTTTGGCACACCTTATATAGATAGCTTATCGTACAGATAAAGAGCAATTGCACACAAAATAAAAAAGTTTACAAAAATATACTGACAAATAATTATATCATAAAATTTACTATTGTCGGTTTTTTTTTTAATAGACTAGTCTGTCACTCATTATTGGTTTATTTAACAAAAAAATTTCTGATATTTATGTTTCACTACGGAAATACTTCCAAAAGATCAGGACTGATATTTAAAGTTTTAATATTTTGACTTGCCGAGCTCGGCTCAAAATGGTTCTGAGCAGGCACCAAAATATAATACCGCTGATTGGAACCTCCCGTCGGCCTTATAATTGTTCCGAGTATGGGAACCCGCTGAACCAAACCTTGTGCAAAGTTTTGAACACCACTTCCGATGTTTTGGGTAAAGCCTTGGAATGTAGTTCCAACTCCCTGAGCAAAGTTTCCAACGTTGGTAGCCCAACCTCCGACAGTATTGCCTACTGCAGAAAACGTATCTGGTACGTTTATTTCTATGGGAATCAAACCAGTGGCTTGTATTAAGTTACCTATGAAATCCAACGGTCCTCGTGGTTGCTGATTCTGAGGACCATAACTAAAAAAAAATATAAAATAATAAAAAATAATCGATTTCTTTTCATAGTTTTCGTTTTAATTGTTAGCTAATGATAATTATGAAGCAACATAAAAAGTCAATTAAATCGAATCCCTGACATACGAATTTATGGAACATGTATTTGGGAAAATATTATTTTGAAAATACTACTTAAGCTTAATGTTTATTTTAATACTCCTAGCATACCTAAAAAATATGGAATATTTTACAATATTTTTTTCATGGACGTATAAACATAGATGGACTCAGTTATTTACATAAAATTTGAAGTCAAAATTATTTGAATAGGTCACATTCTCAGCAACTTCAACTGTTGTCACGTTTTGTTTTAAAATTTCTTATTCGCGAGTCGCTGAAAATATTATTCCGTATTTTATACTCTACAGGTGCTATCAAAACAAAATAATAATTTATTGGTTAGATTAATATATTTAATTCTAATCAAAATATAAAGTGTGCACATAGTGTGCATTATCATTTAATAATAGCGTATAATAGATATCAATCAATTATTTTATATGTAGAAGCACTGAAAACTATTTATAAATGGCAACGGTTGTTTACATTTCTCTGTCTTATGGATCGACGTCAAACTTCAAATGCTGTTCCATGTTTGTTTACTTTTTAGTAAAAGTTGTTTTTCGATATTTTGGCTGTATTTTGAGTGATATTTGTGAAAAGTGAAATTAAATTAACGAAATATGTACATCCCGATCTCTCATTGCATTTCTAAGTACATACAATTTACATTATTTAAGATGAGGAAATGAGGAAGCGTATTTGTTTACATTTTAATAGGCGTACCATTTGGTTTATTCATGTTCATTAATGTATTGAATAAGATATAAGTTCATGAAATTAGTAGACATTTTTAAATTGTAAGTAGACATCATCTGATTAAAAAAGATCTGTTTAGTACCTTTTTAGTTTAATATTTCTCATGGATGCAAATAAATTAGTGAAATGAAAAAAACTCATTTATTTTTCTATGTAGGTTTCCAAATAATATTGACGATCGAACTATTTTGGTAGCAAATTTAGGAGAAAACAAAGATTTTTTAATGTAGCATTATTTTGATACCTATTAAAAATTCAACTATATTTTATTGTATTAATTTTAAAGCAAATAAAATTATATTTTAGTTTTTCTATAAAGACGTGATTTGTTAATACTTAAACTCCCGTTTTTTTTTAAATTCTTTGAACGTGTTTTTATACATTATTACTATTTCCAATTTTTAAAATCTGAATAATAACCCGCGAGTAAAAATTCAAGCACGCTTATGCTCATTGCGGAAGCATCACATTCTATCGAAGTTTCAAAACATTGTGTGTTAAAGGTATCTTATTGCTATGTCCATCTATGTTTATACGTCCATGATTTTTTTATTGAATTCAGGTTTTGGCAGACCGAACGGAATAAACGCCAAAAAAAAAACAGAGATTGAAAGTGCTAGCTAGATGTGCTAGATTTTGAAAGTGACAGAAGGATAGACGTTTCCAGAGTAATCGGAAAATGTCTATGACAGAGGATATATGGAAAGAAGTCGAAAGATAAACGAGGACTAAGATATTGGAGTTAGATTAATTTAAATGTATAGAATGATTTAGATGTCGATGGATAATCTTTTAAATTTAATTGATTTGACTTAAACTGTTTTTTTATACAAGAATCCGCAAAGAACAGTTTGTCCAATTTGCCTGTAGGATCTGTTGTTACTGATAATTCGTCATATCATAGTATACAAATTAATACACTAAGCACCCACTAGTAATTCTAAAAGAACTGATATGATATCTTGGTTGAAAGAAAAAAATTTACCATTTGTAACGTCAAAGTTAAAACCACAATTGCATGAAATCATCAAATGCCAGAAAGAAGATCATATTCAATATAAATTTGACAAAGTACTGCACAAATGTGGACATGTTTCTTTAAAACCTCCGCTATATCATCCAGACTTATACCCTATTGAAATAGCTTGATTGTAGATAAAAAATGAAGTTGCCAAACAAAATGTTCATTTTAAGTTAGAAAATGTTGGTGGAACAGAAATTTGCTAGAATAACGACTGAAGATAACGAAAAGAGTGTGTGAACATGTTGTCATGGTCGAAGTTAAATATTTGGAAATTAAACGTCGCATAGATCTTCTAGAAGGATGTCCAAGGTGTTATGTAACAGAGACCTAAAATTGCCATTGAGGATCCGCCTACTTCGCTGCTACTTGTTCTCGGTCTTAATTTATGGTGTCGAGTCTTGAACTGTGAATAAAATCGATCTAAATCGCCTTGACGCTTTAGAAATGTGGTGCTATAGAAGAATTTTAAACGTTTCCTGGGTGAAAAAGATTCGAAACTCCACAATACTAGATCTCAGTAGTCTCAGTAAGACTACTGAGATCATAAAAAGCATCAAGCAGAGAAAGCTGGAGTATTTCAGATATGTAGTGAGAGGTCCCAAATATAGGTTGCTACAAAATATCATGCAAGGAAAAATAGCAGGATGTTCTCTTCATCATCGACGTAAACCTCGACCGCGACTGCGACCTCCACCGCGCACGTCCATGTATTTTCGGTATGTCTATACCCTTAGGTATAGTGGCTTTGATTTTGATAAGTGTTGGAACTTTCAAATAAAATTTCGTTTATTTTTCTATGTACGATATATCGACGGTGAGCCGGCAATATGTCCTATTTATAAAAAGTATGTTTTATAGGAGGACGAGAAAATAGTTTTATTTGGCAAATTTTAAATATAAGGACGAATAAAAAAATACGTAATTATTAAATTAAATAATAAAAAATATGAATATTTTAGTTAGACAAATAAAAACGGAATACTGGCAGAGCTTCTCAAAGCAGATGGAACACGATTTCTACGGAACACAAAAAGAAATATGGAAAATGATCAGAGGGCGAAGAAAAGAGATAAGCAAACTAATAAAAATGAAACACATTCAGAAGGAAACGTCGGTAGACTACTTTTGATCTCTGTTTGCTAAAGGTGACGATGATGAACCACCAACACCAGAGGTGACGACAAACGAAGAAATAAAAATTGAGGAGAAAGAGGTAAAGGAAGCATTAAGGAAATTAAAAAATAGAAAATCACCAGGAGAGGACAAAATACCGAACGAACTCCTAAAGTACGGAGGATCAGATCTGACCAAACAACTATTAAAACTAATTCAAAAAATAATAGAACAAAACAGAATTCCCCAAGAATGGAGGTCAAGCATCCTAATACCTCTCTACAAAAAGGAAGACAAATCGGACCCTGAAATTTATAGAGGATTTAATTTATTAAACGCAACACTAAAATGAACAACCAAAGTGATAACAAATAAATTTAATGAAATTATAATACTAGCAGAAGAACAACAAGGTTTTAGGTCGGGAAGATCATGCACCGACGTTATATTTATAATGTGGCAAGTGCAAGAGAAATTATTAGAATACAACAAACTGACATTAAAAGACGTTCTCCTCTTACTGTAGGAATACCTCTAGGTATTCCACAAGAGAGATACCTCTAGGAATAATCAAAACTATCAAAAGTATCTACCAAAACAACATAATAAAAGTTAAAGTAGAAGAACTAACCGACCCCATTGAAGCTAACAATGGGATAAGACAGGGAGATATCCTGAGTCCTCTATTGTTCAACCTGATTATGGATGAAATAATAAAAAAAGTAAGAACTAACAAAGGATACCAAATGGGAGAAAAACAACTTAAAATAATCTGCTACGCAGACGACGTAATACTACTCTCTCAAAGTAAAGATGATTTACAACGTATGCTGCACCAATTTAATATAACCGCCAGAAAATTTAACATGTTAATTTCACCAACGAATTTACTATTGCGAACTACGAATTGGAGCTGGATGGTCAGATAATAGTACAAGTTATGAAGTTTAAATATCTAGGCATCACATTATCTAGCTGCGGAAAGCTCGAAACCGAAGTGGAAGATCAAGTGAATAGAACAAACAGAGCCGCAGGCTGTCTAAATAAAACAATATGGGGAAATAAAAATATAGGGAAAGAAACGAAAGCAGAATTTAGACAACAGTCATCATGCCAATAATGACATACGCGGCAGAAACAAGACCTGACACAGAGAGAACAAAAAGGATGTTGGAAACAGCAGAGTTAAAAACGCTTAGATAAATTGATGAAAAGACACTATGGGACAGAGCTAGAAGCAAAGATATACGACGTAGATGCAAGGTGGAGAACATCAAAAACTGGGTAAGAAATAGAAGAGTAGAATGGAACAGAAAGAGTCATGTCTATATAAAAAGAAGAAGAAGAAGAAGAAGAAGAAGAAGAAGAAGAAGAAGAAGAAATAATTATTTAATTGCTAATAGAGAGTTTTTAAGCCCTTTATTTCAGTAAAGTTAAACGTTATACATTATTCTGCTCATGCGCATTAACAAAAAAATAACGGATTACTTTATTAGCGGATAAGCTATTCCCTTATTTAGGTAAAGATAAAGTTAATGTTATTAAGGGATTACGTGTTTGTAATGTTGTCAAATGCCAGATATTTAAATCATAAAAAACAAAAAGTCATATGAGCAGCTCTCTTTCCTTGTCTAAGATCTGAATCAAAGATAACTATGATAGAATAAAAAATAGAAAATTTAGTTCAGCATCTTTCTCTTCAATTGTTTCCAACACAAAATGTAGTCTTGGTGCAACAGGTATTGCAGGATCAAAAATATTGTGAAGAATTAAGCCTCTTATCAAATTGTTATCTATTACTTCTCTGTGTCTTCGTCTTCTATTTTCTTAGATTATAGCAAATTATTCAAATAAAATAGCTTATAGAGTATAACGTGGTATAACTCCCGTATTACGTTCGTCAAATGTCAATTAACGTTAGTCTGTCATAGGTTAATTTCTGATAGGATTCAAAAACTGTTTTAAGTAAAAATGTTTTCCCTTATTTATTATTCAAGGCACATGA